AGTAGAGGGCTTTACCTGAGAGGTCAGATTAAGGACAGATTCCCCTTTACTGGGCATGCGCCACTTTCTGATATAAACCAGCTAAGAGATTCCCTTGTCTTTTTGGGGAATTTACAGCTGCGGAGGAATTTATTACTGCAATCCTGACCATAAAATGACCATAAGAGAGGATGTCTAAGGTTGGTGCTGGGCAGGGAGAAGAGTCAAGCATGGAAGGTTGAGTGCCATGGTATTTTTGGTCCCCCGCCCTCTCGCCCCATTTAGTCTGCCTTAGTCAGAAAATCCAAGATGCTGCAGATGACGCACACAGGAGGTGGGTGAGTTCAACAGGAATGTTACTTAGGTCACAGGTTCAAATGTAGACTATGCTAAGACAGACCCCCAAAGACATGGGAGGATTGTAAAGGGACCCAGTGCTCTGCAGGGGTGTTCAATGATTCATCTGAAAATTCTTATTGTGTGTCCCCTGTGCACTTGACCCTGCACAGCAGAGGCCATGGTGACCTCAGGAGGGACCTACTCTCAGGATGCTTGCTGTAGGATGCTCAAAACACTTTCCATGATTGTCTCATCCACTCAGCATCCTCTACAAAGAGCCTCACCAAACCCATGGCATCTGAGACACCTGGGCTCTATCTTGCTTAGTTCCCTTGAACTAGTCTTGCTCCCTGGGCCTTGGTTTCCTCACCTGTCAAACAGTAGTAATAACAGGTGACACTTAGCGCTCACTGCACTAGGCACCTAATCCTCAGTGCAACCCAGTGGGGCGTAAGTGTCATTCCAATTTAGCAGATGAGGAAACTGAGGCATAGAGACGAATGCGGCCAGTAAGATCTGGGAGCAGGTCTGTCCAGCCCCGCATGGGGTGTTCTTGCTGCTACATTATGTACTGCCCTTGTCCCAGCTGCTAGTGGGATATCCTGAGCTCTGTTGCCCACAATAGTGGGCGGCCCTAACAGATCCTGGGCCTGCGTTGAGTCCTGGGCTCTTCAGGAGGCAGTGAGCCTCCTCTTGCCCTCAGGCTGAGATGGGTGGAAAGAGGGTTGGGGAGAAGGACGTCTTTCCCTTTACTTCCTGATACAAGTCTACCTGTGTTGGCAACACCACCTCACCCTGCTGCCATCCAGCCCCTGTGTTGTGTGCAACGCTGCTGGTGGGTGAAGGAACCGCACCTCCTTCAGGGTCACATCTCTCATGAGGAAGTCAGGCTGGAGTCATTTGTGCTTCCTGGAAGGTTTAGAAAAACCTCCCTGGAGTGGGTTAGATGCTGAAGAGAGTCCAATTCCATCCTGTAAGTCACAAACCAAATCAAAAGAGACAATATCCCGCTTCCCAACCATGACATCCTGATTCAGGCAAAGGCGATCATGGTGCAGCTGCCCTAGGTGCCCACCTCAGTGAGGCCAGGCTAGTGGACTAGCAGCAGCAGGGCCTGGGGTCAGGTGCACTGTCTTCTGTACATTGCCACTGACTAGCAGGGGTATCTCAGCCTCTCTGGGCCTTGGTTTCCACATCTAAAACTGAGGATGGTAGGCACTAGGCCAGAGCCTGCACTATAATGAGTGGGGAAGCAAGCCCCTGACCTCCCTGGATTTATGGTTTAGTGGGGAAGACAGACACTAACTAAGCAAATTAACTCACATATGTGTCACTACCAACCAAGCTAAGTAAATGTTCTTCCCCCATGAAGTGGGGATTTGAATATGAGTCACATCGTAATAGGTCAGACCAGCTCCACCCATAATTAAGAGGTCACTGAACCCAGATGGAAGCAGGAGCGACTCAGTGAGCGGCATTTGACCTGCAAAGGGACCAAGAAGGGACCCTGGGAAAGGAAATTAGTGGCTTTTGACTCTGAAACTTTTTCAAATGATCTATGTGGAATATCTGCATCTTACCATTCTAAAGCACATCTCTGTCCCCAGGTCACTGGCACTCTTTATAGCTCCAGGCCTGCTCCATGGATGAGCTTTCCCAGCCGGAGCTGAGACATTTCCTTCCTCAAACATGGGGTGGCCTTGAGATGGTGAGGCCTCTGACAATGGAAGCTTTTGGATGCACCTGGGGCGAAAGGACCTAAGATTATGCACAACCCAGGCCACTGTTGAGCCCAGGGGTCAGGGCGCTCAGGACCCTGGTGTCTAGAACAGGACTTCGTCCTTCTCTCCTCTAGGGGGAGTTAGCGATGTCCCGAACCCGGGCTACTATCCCTCCAGTGGGATTGGGATATTGCCCAAGGCAGTAGGGTAGAGGCAATGAAACCATGGCAATGTCCCTCAAAGACTGCTCAGACACTCAGGTCAATGCAACAACATTTATTCGCACTTCAAATGCACACTTACAAGCTCCAAGAGGGAGTCACAGCACACAGTCAGTCGCCGCAGCAGGCAAGGCTTGTGCTCCACGGAGGGGGAGCCTGCAGGCAAAGTTAGCACTCCACAGGGGAGCCCAGCCCAGCTGCCAGCAGTCAGCTCAGCTCGTTGGGGCTGAGAGCTGAGAATGCCGGGAGCTCAATCCACTCGGGAGGGAGAACTGTCACACAGCAGGGCCTCTCTTACTCAGGAGAGAGAGTCCCTCTGGCAAGGAGAGGCGCATGCAGGAGAGAGCCCCTTGATGCCAGTGTACCATTGCTCATGAGGACATTGGAGAGCACATTCCGCTGTGCCCTCAGCAGGTGTCCTTTTTAATGTGATTATCTCCTCCAGGGTGTTCCTCTCTTATGTCATTTAGTCCTCTGCTGATTGGTTACACCCAGAAGTGGGGGCCTCGGCGCTCAGCTCTAGACATCATCACATCTTAGCATAAGTGTAGCCATATTGAACGCCATATTGGTTTCGTGCATTATCAGTCCTGTCCATTACAGATGGTGTCCTGGTGTTGGCAACAGCTATTTATCTATAGTCCAGAGGTCTGGTAGCTCCCTGATTCTAAACTGCAGTACAGCCAAAGTACAGACAAACTTTGCAGCTTCTTAAGTGAGGCTTTATGTTCTCTACACTCCCCACCCAGGCGGCCTACCTCACTCCAAAAACAGTGCTTGCTGTGGAAGGATCCAACAACAGGGTGGCTGTCGACCTTCTGCTTGTCCAATGGGACTGGTGGTCAGCTGGGTCTGTCTTGAGGCCTGAGGCAATGGCAAGACAGGGAAGACAGAATGCTGGCCCCTGAAGGAGGAAAACACAGTTGAGAGAACCACATGCAGGAGGAAAGATGGCAGAGCAGAAGTGAGACTCGAGTGAGGGAGTCAGGACAGAGCTGCTAAAAGGTGCAAAAGAGCCACCTTTCCTGCCTGAGAAAGCTAGGGCAAAACTCTGGATAGAAGGCCAATGGAGAAATCTAGAAAAAGCTTCTAGGCTTTATCTATGGGAAGACGCAAAGAATGGGAGACCTAGGAATGAGTGGTGTGTGAAATGGTGCGAACTGTCCCTAGATGGCTCGAAAGCAGAAGGTGGGGAACTGTTTGTTCAGTGTTCTGTGCTGTGGGAAAGTGTACTAGTTGCCCAAGTTTCAGGTGAGGCAGACTTGGACCAGTTCTCAATGTCTGAATCACCAAAGCCCTGGTTTCTCCACCTTGTCTTGCAGGATGTTGAGTCTCCTAAGGTTCATTCTCCTCTCTCCAGCTTTATGCTTGTAGGTGGATGTGATTAGTGCCCTTCCCCCAACCAACACATATGGTAGGTAAATGGAGGGGCAGAAAGCTAGCTGAAAACCAGAACACTGCAAAGGCATGGGTTGGAGGCATGGGAGCTCAGGGCACTCCAGTCATGAGAAGTGAGGCTGGGGACTCTGTGAGTCTCTTTCAACCTAGGAGCTGTGGTCAGAAACACGGAACAAAGCCTTATCAAATGCCCCTGGTTCAGAGGCAGAAGAGAAGTGTCAGGAGGAGTAAGGGCTGGATGCCTCTAAGACCAAGGCTTGTCTAGCAGCAGCTGAAAAGTAACCCAAGTGGGAGATCTGGCAGTCTGGCTCCCAGATGGCATTGACCCAAGGTGCTGCACTATAACTTTCTTGACTTGTTCTTGGGTTTTCTTGTGCTTCACAAGGGTCCTTTAAGGGAGCAAGGAAAACTGCAGTTCTGATAGTGATGACTTAGCCTTGAGTTTTTAGTTGTATGAGCAGCTCCAGGGCTGGAGAAAACACCTCATCCACCACAGTTTAACTCACCAAAGGGGTGAAGACCATATTTGAAGCAAGAATTGAAGGAGGTCAAAGATAGACCTCTTCACTAGCTTTCCATTGTTTATGCTTCTTTAAGAGATGGGGTATGGGGGGGTAGATGAGGGAGAATACTGGAGGAGGGATGAATATAATTAAGCCATATTGAAAGCACATATGTAAATGTCATAATGAAATCCCCCTGTACAGCTAATACATGCTAATTAAAAACAAAATGATGGTGTCTAGTGACGTTGCCAGGTTGTCCCCAAACTCCAGAGCTCAAACAATCCTCCTGCCTCAGGCTATGCTTACTTTTGAAATAAGGGCTATCAAGCTGGCACCAGTGGCTCACAGATATGATCTTAGCTACTCAGGAGGCAGAGATCATGAGAACAGCAGTTTGAAGCCAGCCCAGGTAAAAGGTAAAAAGTTTGCAAGATCCCATCTCAAAAAAAGGGCTGGTATAAAGGCTCAAGGTGTAGGACCTGAGTTCAAGCCAGTATAACAAAAAAAGGTGGGGGCGGCTAACAGGTACATTAACCTCACTTTTCCCTTCGGCCATGGGCCCCATCCTCTCATTCCATACCTGACCACATTGTGTATTGGGCCCACTGCTCTGTGCCCAATACAGAATGAGCAGTGGTACACCTCCCTCCCAGGAGGCACTGGAAAGCCAACAGGTAAAGGAACTCTGCTCCAGAGACCCCAGATCAGGTCCCATTTTATACAGCAGCAAGAGTACAGGGCAGAACAGTTGTTGGGAGACACCCATGCTCACTTTCTTCTACCTGCAGAGGGAGGCTGTGTAGATCTAAACACAACTAAGAACAATCTGAAAGCAACTATTTTGAATTGGTTTTATTTAGATTTTACAGAAACCTGATTAGAGTTAAGTATATAATTTTAAGTCCAGTAACAATTTCTACAAAAATGTACATCCAATGCCAGAATTCCTTAAATGCAACGAGTATCACATCTTTGTTTTGCATAAAACACGCATTAGTATCAACTGCCACTTTTTGGCCAAAATCAGTCTTTGTAAGAAGAGATGGTCCAATTCAATCAATAAGAAAACTAGTTGTGAACAGGTAAAAAAAAGAGGTTTTCCGGTTAATGTGAAAGGAGGAGCAGTATCTTTCATAAAACAAGCCCTTCAGCACTGGGGTGATTTGTACTACTCTGCTGCACTGTATTGCATCACCTCCCAGACTTGGTCCTGACCTGTCCCGGCAAGAAAGAATTTGCTAAGAGCAAACATTTGGAAAAAAACACATTTTCAGGATGCCATGTACACTAATAGTGCAGCCTTGCAGAAGGGTTCAAAACTTGTTCATCCTTAAAGAGTTTCCAGGCGGCAGACCCCATGTGCTTAACTGCCTTCACAAGTGCAGCTCCGGGTGCACAGGCAACCTTCTGGCTCCACACATCAGCCTTTACAAGGATCTATAATTAAGAGGCTGAGTGCCAAAAAAATATGAGTTGTGTAATTCTGAGGCCCTGATTATTTACAGACCTAGTCCATCTTGTCCAAGGATTGGTAGACAGTCATGCAGACTGCCAGGTACAAAAGGACATTCACGTACACGGCCTAAAATACTTTCACTATATCTCAAAGTATGTCATCTGTTGTCAGGAAAGGCCTTGTTCCTCCAGAGGGAGCAACTGAGGGCTCTCTATGTATCAATAGATCTTTTCCACAGACTGAGGGCTTTAGGGATTTCCTACCAACTGAAAGGACTTCCCCTCAAATGCAGGGTTTTATCAACATTCCATGAGGACCTTCAAAGGAAGACCTCATGGTTATTCGCTCTGCGGACACCACACTTATGTACACAAACCCATCATTTATGCAGCCAAGGCCCTTGCTTGGAATCTCTTCCACAGTCTGCCTCCTCTAAACCTGGGCAGCCACTGCCCTAATCACTGCAAGAAAACCAAGTCAGTATCTTTTGTGTTCAGCACAGAATCAAGGGGAAAATAACTTACTGGGGTTCTAATGCCATTTTCAAAAAAGAACAATATCAAAATAGGTCCATTTTAAATATATGCTTATGAATATCCCTGATAACATAAGGAAATCCAGAGGACTTTGTAAACCACCAAGATTTCACAGGAGTGATACCCGGTCATTTTCTAGGCAGCAGAAAAGGGACTAGGTGTACTGGCAGATTTCTCTCTTGGAAGCCCTGTGAGCACTACAGTACTGAAATGCTAATGTTCGAATGCCAGTAAAATTGAGAATGAAAATTTCACTTTAAATTTATCAGTAAAATTTGGGACAAAGGTTTGCTTCCTCAACTCTATCATCAGTCAATATCCCTGCCTCATTCAGGCCAGAACATCAGTCCTGGCTACTTTGGAGATTAGCCCAGAGAAGACAAGTTCCAAGATCCCCTTCTAAACCATGACCAAACCTTAGAAGGCAGGGAAGGGGAAAAGTGGCAGATCAGGCCTGAGGAAACTTTGACCCAAGGCACCACGATCATGGGAGTGAGGGGACCTCTAGAGGTTCAGGCTGATAGGAAGAGACCCTTCTGAGATGCCTACAGAGGTCCTGGAAGGCAAATGCTCTGTGGCAAGGTACACACATTCGGGAGTTTAAAAACAAATCATTAAAAAAAAAAAAAAAATTTTTGTTTTTTTTTTTTTTTTTGCTTTCTCAAAACCAAATCAAACTTCTTAACATATAAGCAAAAAGCCCTGGGAATCCTGGGCTAGGAGAACTGAAGTCTGTGGAATAAGTTGCATTTAGTTGAGTCATAAAGAAAGATGCTGGTTGTGAGGTCAGCATAACATTGTGGTTACTGTAGTTAAGGAGAAGGGAGCTTGAGGCCAGAGGAGGAGACTCTCCACAGAGGAAGATCAAAGGAGACCAAGTGTGACACAGGCCTCTTTTACTCTGAAGTTAGTGGCATTTTCACCGGCCTGAATGAGGAAGTGTAATGCTCCACTCTAGCTGCAGTAATACTGCATCACATCCACTCTTCTTCTCTTTTTCGACTGAAATTCTTCAAAGAACTGCTGAATGTCCTCTCTTTTAACAACCTGTCAATAAAAAGCAAAGATTAGGAAAGGGGAACTACATTACACAACAGCAGTAAAAGGTTGGAACATTTGCAAACAAGCAAAATAACATTGCTGATAAGAATTATAGCTACACCTCCACTCACGAAGGGCTTAGGTCTGTATAGGACCATCCTAAGTTGAAAATACCCTAAGGTAAAAATCCATTTAACATGCCTATCCTACAGAACATCAGAACTCAGCAACACAGCATCCTGTAGAGTACAGTGATCCCAGGGCTGACTGGCGACTATGGTTGGTTGTTGCTGCAGCTGCCCAACATTGTGAGAGAGCATATACTGCTAATGGGAAGAGATCCAAATTCACAATTTGAAGTATGGTTTCTGAATGTGTACTGCTTTCACACCATGACAATCTCAGAAAAAATCCTAAGTCAAGCCATCATACACCAGAGACCTTTGCATTTTAATGTGCAATTAATTATATCATCTCCTCTTTACAAAAGGGATCAAGGCCCACAGAAGCTGACTCACTCAAGTCTCACACCTAGGTAGCAAAGCAGAATGGTTTAAACCTTAGCTGTTACCACCTACCTTAGCATCCTATACAAAATGAGACAAAAGCAGTACCTATCTAATGGGTCAGTTGAAGATAAGCCAAGCGATAACGCCTGTAAAACACCACCTGGCATGTGCTAAGTTCTCAGTAGACTAGCTGGAAAGGAAAGTGGCAGAGCCAGCATATACACTGAAGAGACAGGTTTCCTAGGACCACTGTCTGCTTTCATTATTACAACTTTCTTTTAGAAATATCCTTCAGATTTGCAAAAATCACCCAGAGAAAACAAGGTCTGTTCTGTTTTGAAATTTGTGCTTTCTTTGATAGCTAACACTGTTTTAAAAAAGGGAACCAAGGTCTGGATGCATAACTTGGGCTTGCTTAGCAAGCTCAAGGCCCTGAGTGCCTTCCCTCCACAAAAGGAACCAAAAACCTTTCACTCCTGGAGCCCAAAATGAAAGATTGCTATATAAACAGAAAATAATTAGGAAAAAAAAATTGAAAACCAAACTTTTGAAGCACTACTTTTTAACACATCTGTCTTATACAATAAATAAATGCATTTTATGCAATATAAGATAAATTTATTTTCTATTTTATGGGGCAAAGGATTTGGAGCATAATACAAAGGTTATGATACTAGCAAGCTAAAATTTATTTTTGTTTTTTTGGTGGTACTGGAGTTTGAACTCAGGGCTTCATGCTTGCTAGACAGGCCCTCTGTCATTTTAGCCACTCTGACAGCCCTTTTTTGTGTTGAATATTTTCAAGACAGTATCACAAACTATTTGCCCAGCTGGTCTTGAGTTGAGATCCTCCTGATCTCTGCCTCCCAAGTAGCTAGGATTGCAGGAGTAAGCCACTTGTACCCAGTGCAAACTAAAACTTAAAAATAAGACAAGGTATGGGGCTGGCAAAGTGGCTCAAGTGGTAAAGCGCTTGGTTAGCAAGTGTGAGGTCCTGAATTCAAACTGCAGTACCGCCAAAAAAAAAAAAAAAAAAAAAAAAGCCATAAAATGCACATAATCAGACAAGGTGTGGTAACTTATGCCTGCAGTCCTAGCTACATGGGAGGAAAAGATTGGGAGGATTGAAGGCCAGCCCACACAAATACTTTATGACAACCCCATTACTAAAATAACTAGAGCAAAATGGACTGGAGGCATGGTTCAAGTGGTACAGTACCTCTTTTGTAAGCAGGAACCCTGAGTTCAAACCCCAATACCACCAGAAATAAAACAAAATAAAAGACAAAGGGGAAAGTACGGATTAAAAAAAAAAAAAAAAAAAGTAAAGTGGGACAACCTGGGGATCTCTGCTCACCCCAAGAGTGAGTCTGTGCTGGCTAATCTGTGCGGGCAATCACAAGAGACAGGTTTCTTAGGTTAAGTACAAAGATAACATATGCTTATTGGCTGGAAGAGGGGCCAGGAGAGTGAAGGAAAGAGGATGTGTAAATGCATGTAAATAAAAAAGGAGAGACAAAGAATAAGCAACAAAGAGGTCAAGCACTCCTGTGTAACATGAAAACATAACTCTCCTGGTGCCCAGAAGCAAATGCTGCTAACCTGCTCAGATGGCAATGCTAGTGCTGACAGCCACAGCGCAATCTTGTGGCAGAGCCCGTCCTAGAACCCTGTGATTGGATTTGATCCCCAGCACAGAAAAACAAAACAAAGCAAAAGTAATGGTAACTTGCAACAACTTTCTGAAAGTAGAGCACTTACTGGTTCAAGAACATTGTCCAATACTCTGGTACACACCACCAGCTCGTACACCAGTTTCACAAGCACCAAGAGGGAAATTGCTGGTTAGCTGGCAAAGAATTAGAACCTCTAACAGATTCAGGGTCTAGAAAGCTAACACATTCTGAGGCAATTGTAGCTCAAAGCTTTAATGTCTTGAGCTAAATGGCTTGGGAACTTACAAAATGCTAACACAATACATGGGAATTTCAAAAAGAAGACTCTATCCCTATCTTGGGTTACAAATATTAAACACTGAAAGTCAATAAAAAGAAATACTATCTCTGGCACGGATACCACTGGCAGGTGACATAAAAGCACACAAGTCTTTAAAAGAGTGCAACTTTAGGCTAGGTGCCAGTGGCTCATGCCACTGATCTAGAGGATCAAGGTTCGAGGCCAGCCCAGGCAAATAGTTCAAGAGACCCCATCTCCAAAATAATCAGACCAAAATACACTAGAGGTGTGGCTCAAGCAGTAGAGCACCTGGTTTGCAAGCATGAAGTCCTGAATTCAAACTCAATTCCACCAAAAAAAAAAAAAAAGGTGAGACTTTCTTATGAGCAAGAAAATTTTTTAGTTCCCACTAGTAAAGGTTTTCCTATTCTAAACTATGGTACTCACAATTCCAGAAAAGGGTTTGGTTTTAATTTTTCCTGCCCATTTTCCTCCTCCTCCCAAGGACCCTTGGTTTAAGATCACTCAGCACAGTCAGTGTCCCCGATTCCTTCCAATGGCCTTCTCCTCACACACAGCTATTCCAGACTCTGAGAGCCAGCTCCTGTACCTCATTGCTTGGGGCTGTCAGGGGCTGCTGAGGACTCAGCATGTCCCTTGCTATTTATCTGCTCTTTATGATCCCCTTAGCCTGCCAAAACCTGTACAAACAGTTTCTGCATTAAATGTTCAAGTACTCAGTCAAGCTCACTTGCAATCCCAGGACTTGAGAGGCTGAGGAGAGAAGATCAAGAGTTCAAAGCTTGCTGAGGCTACATAGTAAGATCTGTCTTTCCACTCACCATTCCCAATAAGCAAAATAAATGTTCAAATATTCCATTTAAGTTGTAATTTTTGTAATCATCAAAGAAAATAGTTAATCAAAAAACAGAGCTATGATTAAGATTCTTTAAAATTCAACATACCGTGCCTTCATCAGCAAATCTCTTCAGATAGTCTTTAAGTTCAGTCTTCAAGTCATTGTATTCTAAATCAAAACCATAAAAGTACTTGAAAAAAACAAAGTAACTACCATTGACTGTTGAGTATGTAACAGTTTAAATCAATTTTTTTAAGAAAAACCTGCACTTGTTCTTATTTTCTCCCAAATCCTTTGGACTTCCTTCATTTTGATATCTGGGGCCCCTGCCTTCAATAATGAGAACAACAAAACAAAAATAAAAACACAAAACCCAGAAATATCCTTATTACCATAAACATTGAGAATTTTGTAGATTCTTACAAAATGTCTCTGCAATTCAGGTACTTGAAATAACTTTGGGCTCATCAAACATTAAGTTTAAAAATTCATGCACTCATATAAGTTTGTGTTATGTGCAAGGTATCTTGAGGACTATAAAATCTCTGAAACGCAGCCACTATCATCAAAACCTGTGGTCTAAGGTTAAAGTAGGGTGGGGCATGGCTTAAGTCGCTGGGTGCAAACACAAGGCCCTGAGTTCACACTTCAGTGACACCAAATTAAAATAAAAAGAAAGGAATCAAATATATAAATAAAAGACAGAAATTCCCAATTCCATAAAAAAGACACAAGGTCATGATGGCACCCAACTGGAAACTGACTGGAATAGAAATAAGTCAGGCACGATGGGGCTTGGGGTTATTTTCCCTTCCAGTGGTTTCCTGTGACCCACTGAAGCAACCTCAAGAGCTGTCAAAAAGCTGTTAAACTTTGCTCAAATGATGACATATAAATGCTCACAGAAAATTACTTTAATGGGTGGAACAATCTTCTACTCCTCTTTCATTCAAACATCTACCTTAATCAAAATAGTACATACTATAGTTTCTCAAACGTAATTATTTTAGCATGAAACTCTGAGTCAATAGCAGCTAAATACTCAGCAATATTAAAGTCAAGTAACTATAGTTGAGGCCTACTACATAATTCAAATTTTAACTTTTTTGCATAAGATTCAAATCTATCTGTTTATTAAGATTATTTCTTTTTGGCAGTACTGGGGTTTGAACTCAGAGCCTCATGCTTGCTAGGCAGGCGCTCTACCACTTGAGCCACTCTGCCAGCCCTGTGTTCTTTTAACATGGTGAAGGAAACGTGATGAGCTTTATGAACTTACACGCACGCGCGCGCACACACGCACACGCACACGCACACACGCACACACACGGTATTTACCACAAATGAGTTCCACTTGCTGGACTCTGTTCATGCTGCTAAGGGTATCCATTAAAGGGTCCCTCCTCTCAGTCGCCTGGTCAACCTTGCCCTTGTTTTCATAAGCCAAAACTGTGTCATATTCATCTGTCAGGAAGAGGACATCTAGATCTCCATACATGTTCTTTAAAAAAATAAAACCAGATTCCTATTAGAACTGTAAGTCATCTCCAGAAAGTCAACTTCTTGAGAATTACTAAAAACTTATTTATTTTAAAACTAGCACCTAAAAAAATCTGAGCCTCTTAGCAGAGAGTTGCTTGAAGGATTTATACTTTTTGCCAAATCTTTTTCCAAAACCTTCCAATTTCTAGTGGATGTTGTATGGTTTATGAGATCTTTATTTAAAAACTACTGCCTTGGGCTGGAGGTGCAGGTCAGATGGTAACACAAGGCCCTGAGTTTAAACCCCACTACCACTCCCTCCCCCCAAAATTAAAAATTTAAAAATTAAAAACAAAAAATTCCAGAGGGCTGGAGGTGTGGTTTAAGTGGTAGAGTGTCTGCCTAGCTAAGTGCAATGCCCTAAGTTCAAACCCCAGTACTGCCAACAAAATAAATGAAAATTACTGACACTACAACTTTCAATTGTGTTCCAAAGCAACTCTATAGAAGAGGTAACAAGTGCTATTTTCCACTAAAATTAAAATAATAAAAAGCAGTGCATAATTCTTATTTTCTTCTACAAGAATTCAGACTACAAGCACAAAAACTTCATAAATTTGCATAAAAGAAAAAATGTGAAAGTCTCTTACACTTCTACATCAATTCTATAAAGATACAAATAAACATCAACCTTAATCAGATACTCACCAGACAGTCTTGGCAGGTGCATAGCTGGCTGCGCCAGTTCAGGGGCCAATAAGTGGCAGTGTCTTTCTTTACAAACTGCTTAGCTTTGAGCTCCTGAAGTCTGCAGCCAGACTGTAATTCTGTGTTGAGGCACTGATTCTTAAACACTGTCTGAAATAAAATTAAGGACTTTTTTTGTTTGTGGGATTGGGGTTTGAGCCCAGGGCTTCACGCTTGCAAAGCAGACGCTCTACTACTTGAGCCACAACTCCAATCAATTTTTTGCTCTGGTTATTTTGGGGTTTGCCCAGGCTGACCTCAGAACAGTGATCCTCCCGACCTCAGCTGCTCAAGTAGCTACGATTACACGCTTGAGCCACTGGCACCTGGCTAAAATTAAGTTTTGAAGTGTTTTAAAACTATCGTAGTTTTTGTAGTTCAGATTTTATAAAGGGCTTTCTTTATGCAAAGATTATAAATGAAATCCAAAGAAACAGAGCTCAGAGAATTACCAGTTTCATTTCTTTTGTGGCTTGTACTTCATTTATTACCTGTGGATCAGATTCAGAACTAGAGCTGGTACATGGCTCGTTATTCTGCTCTGCTTTAATCTCCTTGACAGTATTCTCTCCATGTTGTGGAGCATCCTCTTTGAGGGTGTTATCTTGATGATCTCCATTTTCAGGCTTCATAACTTCCTGATCACCTATTCCATCAACATTCAGCACCAACCCATCATCCTCAGCAGATATTTTTGTTACTGTGGGTTCAATGAAAACAAAGATGCACATAGATATCCACAGATCTATATGACAAAGAAATCACTTATTCTGATTTTAAAATATTTCAGAATCTAAAAAAGAAGAAAAGTCAGCCTTATTCCCTGGAATAATGAGCTAGGAGATACCAACTTTCTTTAGGTTATGCTTGCCTTATTCAAGTAATTAAATAGTTCATTTAAAAATATTTATCACTACTTAAACACTTTATAGGTGAACTACAAAAGAATATATCATATGTGTTAAAGAGAGATGAGATGGGACTGGCAGTGTTGCTCAGGTAGAAAAGCACCTGTCTAGCAAGCGTGAGGCCAAGAGTTCAAACCCCAGTACTGGGAGAAAAAAAAAAAAAAGGTAAGAAAACAGAGTAATTTAACTAAAAATACCAGCTTTTTCTTAGGGAAGAGGAAATCAAAAAGGATGGGTGTAGATGCAAAAAGACTGTGGAGAGAAGAGAAACAGAAAGGGAGCAAATGTTGGATGATGGCATTCAAGTTAATAGCAGATGAAGCCATCTGCTGATAGGGAAGGAAATGAAGGCAGATAAGATCAATCAAGATAACCCATTTGGGGATGGGGATGTAACCCTTTCCTAGCATACACGAGACCCTGGGTTTTATCCCCAGCACTGCAAAAACAAAACAAAACAACAAAAAAGAAAAAAACAATGAATGAGAAATACATATAGGTCTAGTGTCTGTGGAAAAATGAGATATATAACTGCAAATGGGTATGAACAAAGAGTATACCAAGTTTAAGAACCTTCAGGCAAATCAAAAGCATAGGATGAGAATTTAGGCATAACCATGCTGCTTGTGGCTTATATGGTGAAGTCCCCAAAGGTAAGAAGGGCAAGAAGAGGCCACAGGAGCAAACAGTATGAGCAACTACCACCTTAAGATATTTAATGTCACAAAAAAAAAAAAAAAAGGAAAAAATGACAAAAAAAGACATTTAAGACCATTCATTGCTGATTAGCTGTTTTTACTCAATTTCTTAGCGTGTAATAAAAACAGCAGATAACCTAGATAGCAAACTGTGTCACCATCTGTTCTGGCCTAAATATTTATATTCTTCCCAAATTCACACATTAAAACCCAATCTCGAATGCAGTAATATTAAGAGGTACAGCCTTTAGAAGGTGATTAGGTCATAGGGCTTGCTCTTGAGACAAATTAGCGTCCTTATAAAAGAGACTCAAAGAAGCCTGTTTGTGCTTTTCGTCATTTGAGAATCCACTGAAGGCTTAATCTACAAGGAATGGGCCCTCACCAAATACTGACTCTTCTGGCACCTTGACCTTGACTTGTCAGCCTCCAGAACTGTAACTAAATTTCTACTGTTGATAAATGACCCAAAATGTATTTTGTTATAATACCCCAAATGGACAAAGACACTGCCACCTCCCCAACCAATATCATGTCTTACATTTAACAACGAATTTTAGTTCTATTTATCTTTCAAAATCTGTCTCCCCCATTTTCTCCGATAATGGTCTCATCCATACCCTACATCTTACCATTCAAATTCTCATTTGTTTTTGGTAGGCTCTTAGCCAGGGTATAATCACTGTGTGGAGAAGGAACATATCCTATCCAATTTTCTAGGCAGAAACCCTACCACTTGAGCCACGCCCCCAGCCCTTTTTATTCTGCTTTTTTTTTTTTTGGAGTTTTAATAAGGATTTACTTTTAGTGTAACAGGATAAAGGAGGGAGAATGAAAAAAGGGCGAAACATTTCCGCTCCCCATACAGGAAATGGTTAAATGATGGTTCTTTTCAATAGCCTTTATATTTTCAGAGCTGGGGGAAAATAACCTAATCCTCAGACAATGGTTTTTGGATGGGTAAGATGGGTGCTGTTTGTTATTCTAAAACATGGAGATGTGATCTAAGCCTACCCAAAACACAGGGACAACAGGTAATTTTACGACTTTCCTTCGACTTTCCTTTGCCAGTCATGCCTTCTAATTTTCGGTCTCTACACAAGTTTATAGCTTTTAACATCCCAAGGGAGGAGGTTTTATTCCATTCCATTTTGTATACCTCAAAAGTCCAGTTAAAAATAGTTGCATAAGTTTGTGTCACACCAAGTTTGCAGAAACACCTACCTGCCAATTGTGCAGCATAAGCCCACAAGAAAGAACAATGTTTCATACAAGCCTGGCACACCATCTCTTGGAAATCACCACTCTCAGGGGGAATGACCCCAAGATGCTGTGAATACAGAAAATAAAACAGTTTTCTTGTGGTCTCATATATATCTAAGATGCCTATTGTTTTATAAGCAAATATTACAAAAGTACACTGATTATATGTTTAGTTTATTTTTAGAAGGGTAATTATAATGTAAAATAAAATAACTCGAAAGGAAAAGATCCTTCATCTTGTGAAGACATGGCTTTAAAGAGTAAGCTTCCTTACCCTTCCATGGAACCAGTCTTCACAGACTACACACTGAATCATCTCATCTGGAACCTAACAAGAAAAAGGTTGTTAATGATTACTTTGAATTCTGGAGCATGGAATAGAACTAGATATTAAATAATTCTCTATCAACTCTGTGAGACCCCAACCATGTAATAGCAGCCAAAGGGACAAAGAAATTAAATCTGTATAAATTGGTTTGCAAACAATTATCAAAGGTCTTTCACATTTGATTCTCACAAAACTTTATAGATAAAATGGGGCATTCCCATTTTATATAGAAACCTAGAACCAGGGAAGGACAATAAATTGACCACTGTAGAATATGGCACTTGGGACTTTGAACCAAAACATGCTGCCAAGTAAGACAAAAGTAAATGTTACTAACTCTTGATGATATGGACAACTTCTATTTGAATAAATAAAATAAACTTGTGTATTAGGAAAATTACATGCCAAAAGACAAACTATTTGAGGAATAATTTTTCTTTTATTTCTAGGCTTTTATACTCTTATATTTATTAATTAACTCCCTAGTACTGGCTGTTGTCCTTTTACTATGACAGTATCGTTCTTTCTCCCTCCCTCCCTCCTTTCCTTTTTCTTTTTTTTCTGGGGTTTGAACTCATGGGTTCATGCTTGCCAAGCAAGTGCTCTAATGCTTGAGCCATGCCTCCAGTCCATTTTGCTCTGATTATTTCGGAGATGGGGTCTCTCAAACTATTTGCCCATGCTGGCCTTGAACCAATCCTTCCAATCTCAGTCTCCCAAATAGCTAGGATAACAGGCACGAGATGCTGGCACCCAGATAGGTTAACTAACTTATGGCATGTCAAATGTGGGATACACTGCAGTAGTCAGAATGAGATATATTTGTACTGTTTAACATGGAAAGATGTATATGACATACTGATAAGTGAAAAAGGCCAACTTCAGAAATGTGTGGAATTTTTATCTTTGTTAAAATTACACATTGAAACACACATTCATTCAAACACTTTTATATGCACAGAAAAAGGCCTGAAAATATACACTTGGGAGGTAAGAACCATAGGAATGAGGAAGAACGCTTTAAATGTTATTTATATATTTTTAAATTTTTTGATTTTTTTTTTTGGTAGTACTGAGATTTGAACTCAGGGTTTTGTGTTTGCTAGGCAGGCACTCTATCACTTGAGCCACACCTCCAGCCCTCTAATGGAAATTTTTAAGAGGATCCAGTTTGTACACTTTTCTTTTCTTCCAGGGAGGCAAGAAGTTGAAAGTCATTTCTCAGAAAACATATGGAGTTGAGGCAGGCAGGCAGGCATGAAAAAGAGAGAAAGGAACAAAGTTCTGGCCTTGGGAAAGTCCTCTCATATTTTTCATTCCTATGAGGTACAAATGAGAAAAGTAGCTGAGATCTGTACCAGTTGTAGGTCCAAGTGAGATGCATAAGAAAGGGAAAATGTACAATCCTTGAGCATCCTGAAATGCTCCAGAGGTCTCTGTTTAAAAGAGGCTGAAGAGATGACACAGCCCAAGGTTTTAACCTCCAATTCTCTTACCTCATCATCAGGATCAGGATAAGGTCTCTTGCAAATGCAGTACAATCCAAAAAAGTTGTCATTGTACTTATTACCAGAATTTACTTTTGCTTTGTCCTGAAAGATAGTATTAATTTCAGCATATACTATGGTCTAATTTCAAGTATAATTTTATGCATCAAAAAATTTACACAATGAATAAATCTGTTCATTAAATATTTTCCTCCCAGAAGCTAGTCTTTAACTTTCAAGTCTAAAGAAAAAAAAAATTCAAGAAAAAAAATTTCATTAAAGAAATACTTTTTCCAAAATACATGGAAAAAGCAAAATTTATTTTCTGTATCTTATTCATAGCAATTGGGGGAAATTGAATATACCCATTCAATAAAGTGAAGATAAAAGTTAATTAAATATATTATCAACTATGTAAACTGACACTGGCTTGGAATTTCAAGATGCTTCTTTATATATGCTATGATAGCCAAACCCTCCCTCAGGTCACCAGGGAACAGAAAGGAGGGAAAGAAATTGTTTATAACTAATCTTCAAAGGAGAGGGGAAATGTGACAGTTTTAGCAATTGTGATCAAACAATGTAACATTCCTTACTTTCTCTTTTATCTCTGCTATTTCACTAAAATTAATTATATAAGCACAGCTTTTACTAATCAAAATACACTCAAAAAAGTTCTGTGTGCACAGCCCACATTAATTATTACCAAGCTTTATTATCTAGTTTTAAAAGTCAGATCCTTGCTCTAAAAGTCTCAGCATGAGCATAACTAACATAAATAAACCTGAATCACTTTAAAGAACATCCCCTGCCTCTGCAAACCTTTCATATTATTTACACTCTGTGTTATAGGCTAGGTACAGGTTATCTAATTTTTCCAAAATAAAGTAAAAAAAAAAATATATCCATTTGCAAAGAATAAGCAAAAGGACCTGTTTTTGGAAAATATTTGGTTTCTACCCACTCCAATAAATATCAACTGCAGTTCCTTTAAATGTATTTGTAAGCCAGGCTGTAGTGGCTCACATCTGTAATACTAGCTACGCAAGAGGCAGCGGATCAGGAGGATTGTGGTATGAAGCCACTACAGGCAAATAGTTCTCCAGACCCTATCTCCAAAATACCCAACACAAAAAAGGGCTGGCAGAGTGCCTCAAGTGGTAGAGTTCCTGCCTAGCAAGCATGGGTACCACTAGCAAGCATAGGTACCACTAGCAAGCATGGGTACCACTAGCAAAAAAAAAAAAAAAAAAAAAGAGCATTGTAGTTATAGTGGTTACTTACAGGAAATAATTTGCATTCCAAATTTTTAAACTTGCTGTTTCCACAATCACAACGAAAATTTCTGAAAAAAGGAGGAAGAGCCAATTTTATTTTACTTTCAAAACTAACAGGTACTTCTTTAAACTCAAATCATAGTCTCTTGCCTTTTGATTCATTTTTAGGATCTAAAAAGTAACTTTGGTTGCTGTTCATGTATGTGGTTTAGAATTTCCAAGAACATAACAATAAAAGATTTTACAATTTTGGAAATATACATAAAGACGTATCTACATCACTTACACACAACAGAATAATGGCAGAAGGATGATTAGTTTGACTTTTTACCATAATGTTTTAAAAGGTTCTGTGGAAAAACCATTCCCTCCCATTATATTATATAAAGCAATATTAAATTTTACTTGTGCACAACTACTTTGAATGGAAAAAATAAGACTAAGAAAAAAACGTACTTGGGAAAGAATCTAAACATTTAGAAAACATTCAGCAACAATCTGTTTACCTTTTCGTGTATAGTTCAAATAGTTTATGACTTCCATGGCATTCATAACTGCAAGCAAGACAAATTCCTGCTGGTTCTTCTCCCTCTGGGGTGCAGGTACTACAGGCATATAGTGCTTGTCTTTTTACTGAGCCCTAAAATTCAGCCCCCCAAACAGACGAGAATAAATTATTGAAAGAGCATAGTTACCTAACACCAATGCCTAAGATGTGAGATATAATTAAAATCAGATTATCTGATCAAGATCTTCCTGTAAAAAACATTAAGACTATTAAAAAAGTTTGTATCACAGAGTACCAAAACACAGTTGCAAATACTCTATCTATACTAATGCCTGTTTTCATACAATTTTTCTTAAAGTGATGGAAGTTTAAATTTGTGAATCACCTGTGAATAAGGTGAACTGCTAAATCATTATAATATATGAAAATGTAGGTGAATATGTTTAGGCTTAGGAAAGCAGTATCATATTTTAATTTTAGAAAACACTGTAATTCAACCAAAGAGGAAAAACAATGCATGAAAAGAATCCCTGTGATTTTTAGGGGATGCACACTGAAACATCTAGAAATGTCATGTCATGATGTTTGCAATTTATTATCAAGTGGTTCAAAAAGAAAAAAAGAAAAAGTGGCTGGGAGCTAGTGGCTCAAGCTAACTACTTGGGAGGCTAAGATGGGGATAACTGAAGTTGGGTGGACCGAAGTTGGGCCTCGAACTTTGAGGCCAGCCTGGACAAATACTTCTTGAGACACCCATCTCCAAAATAACCAGAGTAAAATGGACTGGAGGTGTAGCTCAATGTAGCTCAAGTGGTAGAGCATCTGCAAGTAAAAAGCCCTGAATTCAAACTCCAGACCCACCAAAAACAACTTACTTTTAAGTTGTCTCAACTTATTTATAGATTTAACTTTATTCTTTCAACTTAATAGATTTTAAAATGTTTCAAAATACAAAGATGGAAGGAAAAATAGGCAAAACTTAGAAATCTTCATGAGGGTTATCTTCCTCCAGGACGGACACACAGGCAGACTTCTAGGATGCTAGTAACAATGTATTTGTTGACTTGGGTGTTGGGTACAAGCATATGTTCATTTCTTTTTCAAGCCACCCAACGACTCAAGCAAATTTTCATGTTTTCCTACAATAAAATTCTTAAGGAAATTCACCTTATAAAGCTAACTACATTTCAAAAACAGCTTACATATAGACTTAACATCCTTCTCCCCACCTCACCAATGGAAATCAGGGAAAAAGTCGCTTCAGTGGTGATTAAAGGTTTTAAATACCAGTCATTCTCTCCCCTTCCTTGCCAGGGCCACCTAATGTTCTCGTTCCGTTCTATTTCCGGGAGAGGGGGTGTCACACTGCACATAGATCCGGTACTAGCCTGTGTTAGCGCGCACACATCTACAAAGTACTAGCTTTCAGTTAAACTACATTGCAGCGCTGTGCAGGAGCTCGTCCCACAAAGGAAGATGTTCAAATCCAGGGCTCTTTCCTTTAAGTCTGTATTTTGATACCTCCCCCCCCCAGCCCAATTCGGTCCCTAATAAATATTCTTAGGATGAAAAAAGTACGGCCAAAGACGTTTGGATTTTGAGAGCATGATTTTGTGCAAGGCAGCCGGGCCACCAAGAAGAGACTAAAGAAGTGGCTCCATCCAGGGCCAAAGCCTACGGAACCCTGCGCAGCCTGGCGGAGGAAGACAGCGAGGAGGGAGGGCTCTGCTGGAACCCAGAACGCCGAAGATAAAAGAGCAGCCGGGCCCGGGCAAGGGACGGCACCATGGGCGGGATGGCCGCGGCAGGCGGGAATAGAGAATACAGGCGGGGAAGACGCTGGTCGGAGGGAACCCCGGGAGAAACGAGGCCCGGGCCGCGCGCCCACCTGCGAGTAGGAGCACTTCTCGGCGTCGCTGCCGCCTAGGACGGCGCACGCCTCATTCTCCAGCTCTTCGTCCTCCTCCAGTACGTCGACCAACGACACCACGGGCTCCAGCTCCGACAGCCGCCCGGCGGGCCCCTCGGCTCCGGCCATCCTCAACTGTCACCCGCACTCCACCTCGGCCCAGGCGGAGGCGGGAAAAAGCAGCCGTAAGGGGCGTAGCGGGGAAGGCGGGGCCTCAGTGCCAGGAACCAATCCCAAAGAAGGAAAGCGAAGGAAGGGGGAGGAACGATTTCTGACAAACGGAAATCATCCTTCTCCCGCCTGCGTCGGCTGCGGGCTGGTTTCCGCTTCCGGGTGGTGCTTCCCTGTGGCGCGCTCTTGAAGCTAAGTGGTCGCCATGGAGCTGTTAGGAGAGTATGTGGGGCAGGACGGGGAGCCTCAGCGACTGCGGGTGTGCTGTGAGACATCGGGTGACGCCGACCCCCTCCAGAGCCTGTTGTCGGGCGTGGCCCAGATGAAGGAGCTGGTAACTGAATTCTTCGGCCCCCTAATCCAGCGGGAAGCGCAGGACAGTGTGGCTGCGACCCCAGACGACGCATTGGATGGTGAGCTTGGAGACGGTACCCAAGGGGACTTCGGCTTAGGGGAGCAAGTGTGAGTGGCAGGTTTGCAGAAAGTGAGACTCAGGGTAAGAATTGCACCTAAAAAATGTTGACACTGCCCTACTCAACCGAGCTGTTTCTGCCCAAGCGTTTTCACTTTATTACAAAAAAAAAAAAAAAACCAAAACGTGTTGAACGCCTACTACGCAATGCCAAGCACTGGGCTGGGGTCTGGAGGTGACGTCGACTCAGTTCTGCGCTTGTGGGATACAAGGGAGTGAGACTGGCAGACATACTTATTAAAAGAGTTGAAACGGTGTGAGTGTCGCCCTCTGTAATTATGGCACGCTGGCCGAGCCCAGGAAGGCTTCTCTAGAGCTGGGCATTGGAAGAGGAAACGGTTTTACTAGGTGTGAAATTACAAACATGTTTGAAAAAGTGCAGTCCATCCCAGTAGGGACAGCTTCGCAGTCAGGACATATTAACCCAGAAGCTCCTTTCCCATATCCTGGTTTTGTAGGTGCAGTTTGGAAGTAGAACCGTAGAGGTTTAACACTGTTAATTGAAAAAAAAAAAAATTGGCTGGTCGCCCGTGGCGGACGCCTGTAATCCTAGCTACTCAGGAGGCAGAGGTCAGCAGGATGGCTGTTGGAAGCCAACCCGGGGACATACATAGTTTGCAGACCCTATCTCAAAAAACCCAACACACAACAAAAAGGCTGGTGGAGTGGCTCAAATGGTAGAACGCCTGTCTAGCAAGCTTGAGGCCCTGAGTTCAAAGCCCCAGTACCAAGAAAAGAAATACAGAAATATTTGAATACAGAAATAGGCAGGTGACTTTTTTAACTGCCCTGACCTAATTAGATACTGAAGTCAGTACTTCCTGTTCTGTAAAGAAGCTTAAACTATACCTTTCCATCTTGATAAAGTAGATGGTTGGCTATCATCAAAAAGAACTATGACAAATGTTGGCTAGGATATGAACAAATTGGAGATCTTGTACATTATTGGTACCATGGGTATAATAAGTCAGACAAAAGGCCACATACTGTATGATTCCACTTATATGAACTGTCTAGAATAAGCAAATCCATAGGGATAGAAAGTAGATTTGTACTTGTAAAATTGTAGTTGTAAAAGTCCTACCCCGAGGGGGTGGGAATTGACTGCTAACGGGTATGGGATTACATTATGGGGTACTGAAAGTACTCTAGAATTAGTGGTGATAGTTGCAAAAGCAAGCGAACATACTGAAAACCACTGAGCTATCACTTTAAAACAGTGGGTCTATGGTTAAATAATTATTATATCTCAAAAAGTGATAAAAAAGTTTTAAATACTAGCATCTTTTCACAGATTTTTTTTAAATCTCTAAAGTAAAATGGTCTCATTTCAACCATGTTAGCAACCTATATTTCTTTCAATCACTGAATATAATGTCATACAACAAATATTTATTTTGAAAGGTGATGAAGATGATGCAGAAGATGAAAATAACATTGGTAACAGAACTAATTCAGATGGACCATCTGCAAAACGACCAAAACCATCATCTTAGCAATAGCATTTATGAAATTTAAAAGACTGCTATTGAGCTGGGCCAGGTGGTGCACAGGTATAATTCCAGCTACTCAGGAGGCTGAGACAGGAAGATCACAAGCCACTCCAACAAAAAAAAAAAAAGACTGCTACTGTATCCTAATCATCACCTTGCTGATACTTAAGGAAGACTTGCATTCTAGTTCCGGAACACATTTATTTTGTTCCCCTGGGACAAATTTGTCAGAGAGAAAACTTTGTTTTTACCAAAGCAAGATAAAATAAATTTTTGAGAATTAAGTCTGTTTTCTTGAATGAGAAATTTCAAGCCATTGGAATAACAGAATAATTCATAATGTATGAAATTCTCCAAATTGGCTACTGATTTTTTATCATTGTTTTCTCTTTTTAAAATAACCACTGAATTGGGCTAGAGGTGTGGCTCAAGCTGGAAGAGTACCTGCCTAGCAAACGTAAGACCTCGAGTTCAAACTCCCGTATTGCCAAAAAAAAGAAAAAAAAATCAAGGTAAAATAACCACTAAATTAAGTGGTATGATGGCTACATCTTTTAGCTTCTGTTATAAAAGTACATGTCATGGTTCATGGGCAGTAATAGATAGAGTATGTATATATATTTTTATTTTCTACAGTACTGGGGCTTAAGCTCAAGTGTTGTGCTTGCTAGGTAGGCACTCTAAAACTTGAACCATACCCCCAACCTGGAATATCAATTCTTTATAAGTAGAAGGAAAATAAGGGAATAGAAATACTAGTGGTGGTACAGGCCTGTAATTTCAGCACTGAGGAGGCTAAGGTAGTAGGATCTTGAGTTCAAAGTCAACCTGGGCTATATAAGGAGACCCTTATATAAGTTTATAAGTGGAAAAGCTTATAAAAGTACATATTCCTAAAATTGGAGAAGAGGGCAGAACAGGTTCTGCCTGGAAGCGAGGGGGGTGTGAAGGGAGAGGACTGAAAAATTAGTGTGTTTTTTTGTCTCCTTGTTTTGGCATTTCTGAGGTCTTGAACTCAGGACCTCATGCTTACTTACTAGGCAAGTGCTCTACCACTTGAGCTACACCTCCAGCCCATTTGCTTTAGTTATTTTTCAGATAGGGCTCATGCTTTTTGCCTGTACTAGCTTCAGACCACTATCCTTCCACTTCTCATGTAGCTGGTATTATAGCTGTACACTATACCAGACTTACTTGTTGAGATGGGATCTCCCTAACTTTTTGTCTGAGCTGGCCTCAGCCACAATCTCTGCTTTCAAATAGCTGAGATTAGAGGTGTAATCCACCACATGCAACCCTGAGAAATAAATTTTGATGCAATGTTGAGCTGGAAAGAATAAAAGGTCAATGATATATTGACAGAATATAAATTGGTACAAGCTCTTTGAAAGTCAAGTTGATGATTCTGTTAAAATATTAAATGTACATGCTCTTTGACTCACAATAATTTATACTACAGATTATAATATGCAAAGATCTGTTTATAAAATTAGGCATTGTAGTATTTTTCCTAGTATAGAAAAGATTGTTAACTTAAATGTCCACCAGCAGAAGACTAATTAAATAAAAATAAAGGTATGATATTGTACAGCTATTAAAAAGACCAACATATATCTCTCTGTGCTCTGTGCTGTTAAGGATCAATTTCTGTGTTAAATGAAAACCAGGGAGATACAGCAGTGCAGACAGTCCATCTGTCTCTGGGAAGAAGCTACTTCTCTGGGAGAAGTTTTTTTGTATGTCCTTTGTTCTAATTGCGTTTAAAAATGGTATTTTTTTTCTAAGCAAAAGTTATGCACAGAAAGTTATTTTGAAACTTTCAAACACTTTTTTTTTTTTTTTTTTTTTTTGAGGCAAGGTCTCTCATTGTAGCCAGGCTGGGCTCAAACTCTCCATCCTGACTTAGCCTAGCAAGTGCTAGGATTATAGATGTGTATCACCACACTCAGGTCATACATCTCTTAAAGAAGCATCCTTTATGTGTATTAAAAGCTGTTGAATAATGGGCAATGGAAAACAAAGAGGTAAGGGAGAACAATGGAAGGGGCTGAATAGACCAAACTAAAGTATACCCACAGTGTGATACATTGACAAGCCCCTTTGAACATCAAATTAAATATAAGAATGAAAGACAGTACTGTAAAATAGGTACAGTGTGTTGGGGGTGGTACTAGTGGGAGGGGAGAGGGGAATGAAGGAGATTAAGTTGAGGGTATATGGTTGATGGACCTCAAATACCTGTATGAAACCTCTTGCAATTGCTTTAAGTGGGGCAGGGAAGGGGTTGAGGGGGAGAGATGACGGGGGCGATGTAATTAATGTATAATGTAAATCTAATCAGAATTGCAAGACCCCATCTCCAAAATAGCCACAGGAAAATGGAATGGGGGTGTGGTTCACATGGTCTACCATGTCACTCTGCCTTGCAAGCACAAAGCCCTGAGTTCAAACCCCAATCCCATCAAAAAAAAAAAAAAAAAAAACAAGCAAACAAAGCAAATAATTCATATTTCCTTTCCCATCCAGCAACTTTGTCAGAAGAAGAAATAGAATCTAACTTCCATAGAGACTAGGAGAGCTAGGCTACATAAGATGTATGGTACCATAAGATAAGGGGGAGGTGTTTATAAAATGGTTATGCCCAGCTCTAACCTTAAAAAAACTGTATAACCAGTTTCACAGTTTTACAGTTTAACAGTTAGCAGTTTAACTGTATAACTACACTGTATATCCAGTACTAAGTATTAAAATGAATTTCACAGTGTTGCTGTAAGCATTCCAGTTCTCAGGTGACCTTTAGGATCAGAATTGCTCTATTTAAAGACATGGCCCAGGAAACAGTGAATGCTAGAAATAAGCTTCTATTTAAAACTTTTAAAAAGTGGCAGCTCACATTGGGACATAAATAGGCCATTGAGGTATAGTTTTAAATAGAAATTTATCCTGATGCCCAAAATTCTATTGGAATAGAAGGAGCTTATGAGTGCTTAATGGGTCCACAGTATTGCCCTGAACACCAAGGACTGGAATTGCATGCTATGTATGGCTCTGAGAGTGCTAATACTTGGTGCATATTAGTTGGCTTAGGAAGCTCTTCATGTTTTTGTTTCTGTTTTTCAGATAGGACTGGGGGGTTAAACACAAGGTGTAGTCCTTGCAAAGCAGGCATTCTCCTGCTTTAGCCACACCTCTGGTCCGTTTTGCTTTATTTTGGAGATGAGATCTCAAGAACTATTTGCCTGGGTTGACTGACCTCTAACCTCAGTCCTCTCGATCTCAACCTCCCAAGTAGCTAGGATTACAAACTTGAGCCACCAGTTCCCAGCAACTCTTATGTTTGAAACAAAAAAATTCTTACGGGCTCTAACCACCACTTAAAACCATATAGGTGAGCATGCATGGTTTTCTCAGTTTCAGTATGGAAAATTCCAAGACAACCAATGTCACCAGGGATCCTATCAAAAGTAAGTTGAGAGCTATTTTAAATCTTGGCCTTGAGAGAATGTATCACTACATCCTGAAGTCTGAAAGAACTTAATAGTTAAGTTCTAATCAGTAGAATTAAGTAGTTAAGTTTTAATCAGTAAATGTGCAGATTATGCTGTGCACGTAACAGTAAATATTAACTTCTAACCTTCATTCTCTTTGAGGTGTGGACTAGCAAGTCTAGCAAGAGAAGTGTGCATGCAGTGAACACATAACTGAGCATCTACCATATGCCAGGTGCTGTTGTAGATGTGGTAGGCAGTCACTGCCCATAGCAGTGCATGACAAAGGCCTAGCCTTCATGTGAGGATAAATGCTGCAGAGAAAATTCAAACAGGGTAATCAGAGGCAGCTTCACTAAAGTGACATTTGCATAAAGGTTTGAAGAAGGTAATGGAACAAGCCAGGGCTTAGCATCCAGGCAGGCAGACAGTACAGAGTTACAGTGTTCTGGCATGTTTAAGAATCATCAAGGAAACCAGCATGAGGCTGGAGTAGATTCAGGAGAGAAAGAGTAGTGGAAAATGAAGTAAAGGTGTACGTTGAGACTGGGCTGCTGATTTAGGACTTTATATGCCATGTTAAAGACTTTGGCTTTTATTCTGAAAAGGAAAGTTTAGGGGGATTTTTAAGAGGTATAACATTTTTAAAGGATGTCTTTTGTCCACTGGGTTGATAACAGACTTGAGGAGCAGGTTTTGGTGGGTGGAGCTTGGCAGCTTGGTTTTGGATAAATTTCATGAACATGGTACATCTTAGTAAACATATAAAGTAAGCAGCTGCAGCCAGGTGTGGTGACACACAACAAAACAAAATAGACAGTTGGATGATCAAGTCTGGAGCTTGACATGACCACAGGCAGTGTAGAAAGGAGAACTGGGGCACACCAACACGTACAAGTGGAGCTGATTGCCAAGGAGGAACCAGCAAAGAGAATAGAAAAAACTGAGGAAAAAGGCAAACCAGGAAAGTATCTAGAACAGGGAACAGGTAGCTTTTTTTTTTTTTTTTTTTTTTTTTCAGAACTGGGATTGAACTCAGGGTATCAGTTACATTAGTCACATTTTCATCTGACTAGTGGCTGCTGATTTGGACAGCACAGATAAAGAACATTTCCCTCATTAACATTCTGCTGGAAGGTGCTGAGCCAAAAACCAACTAAAGAAAGTCAAAGACAGTATCAAAAACTGTTAACAAGTAATTTCAGATCCAAGACTTGGCCATTGGATTTAGCATAAATCACAAGTGACTTCTTGACAGGAGAGCAGTTTTGGTAGAATGGGTTGCAAAAGCTTGATAGCATATTCTGAACAAACTGGAGAGTATTTGAAGTTAAAAAAAAATATAGACAACTAAAGATTTGCAGTTAGAATGGCTGTGGTGAACTTACAACAAAACATTTGCTGAGGCTGTTGTAAAGACAAGCACGGCTCTCATAACTAACACTGGGACAAGTGATTCTCAACCCCAACAGAATCATTTGAAAAGCTTTTAAAACACAATTGCCTGGGGCCCACCCCGAAAGACTGATAAAATTGGTTGGGAAGGAACCCTGGCATTTTATGTGAGGTGCTGTTTTGGTTTTTTTGGTGGTACTGGGGTTTGAACTCAGTACTCAGGGCTTTCTATGCAGGTGTTCTACACTTAAGGCACACCTCCAGCCTGAGATGTTTTGTTTTAGTTTATTTCATTTCCTTGAGTAGTTCTACTGTACAGCCACATTCAGACCCACTCACTGCCTTAGACCAAAATAGAGATACTAATGTGTTATGATTCCTAATCATGGCCTAAAATTATTTGGGACTTTGCATGTTGGAGAATTTATAAAGTGATGACACTCATTTGATGCAAAAGTGAGTCATGTGGTAATATGGTAAACTTCTGCCAGTGTTTGAGATTGAGGGTGTTAAATCCAACAAAAAGGAAATCAACACTATATATATATATTTTAAAGAAGGTAGAGTGCCTGACTAGCAAACACAAAGTACTGAGTTCAAACTCCAGTACCACCAAAAAAAAAAAAAAGAAGAAAAAGGGTTTATTTTGGGTTTAAGGTTTCAGAGGGTTCAGTCCATCATAGCAGAGAGATCATAGCTGAGCATTTCAAACCATGGAGACCATGAAGCAGAGAAAAGGGCAGCACTAGATGATCTTAACAAGAAAGACACATTACTTATGATTAATAGACATGCTGGTGTGATTATCTTATGGGTTTGGTTATCCTCTCACATGAGTACTTTATTTCATGACTCCACTTATCCAAAGAAAAGCTTGTTGTTAACTTAAAAAAGTTTTGAAACAGAATCATGTTCTAAGCTTTAGGAAATCAATTTTTTTTTACTTTCAAACTGGTAGCATTTTTAATACCAGAAAATTTAAATGGTAAATAAAGCTCTATGAATTGGATGTTTTTGTAATTATTTATTTTCTGTAGTGGTACTTTTGAAAAATATCTGACACGTTTCAGTGAACACTCAACAAGATTCACAAGATTCTTTTTTTTTTTTTTTTTTGCAGTACTAAGGTTTGTACTGAGAGTCTTATACTCACTAGGCAGGTACTCTAGCACTTGAGCCACTCTGCCAGCCTAGGATTATTTCATTTCAGATGTAGTTGCTAATAAAGTGGTTTACTAAATCATTGTGAGATGTGGAGATGTAGCTCTACTTTCCTTTATCTGGAAGCAAGGATTTACATGTTATGGGTCCTAAATCAAAAGGTATAACATGTGTTAGAGTGCCCTGAGTTTAAATTCCAGTATCACCAAAAAACTACAATCTCTAAGATTAATAGAAATTACTAGTTTTAGAATAAGACTAAATAACTGCCTCAAGACTAATAAAGCAGGAAACTGCTCAGTGATTTTCCTCAGATTATCCTTGGTTTTTTTTTTTTTTTTTTGAGAAGCAGCATAGTAGAATGATAAGAGCTAGCAATCTGAAGCCAGACATCCTGAGTTCAAGTCCTGAATCTTCCATTTACTGTGTGACCATGGACAGATTCTTACATGCTTCAGATTTCTTCTATAGTGCCAGTATAGTATCTGCCTCATAGGGCTACAATGAAGAATTAATGTAAAACTCATGACACAATTCCTGCAGCATGCATTCTAGTACTCAAAATATGCTAGTGATTTTGTCTGACTCTCACAGAAACAGGTATAGTATTCACAAATTTATTACACATGGTTTTGACCAAGCATGGTCAAAAAATTATTGTAGAAATTAAAAAATTTCAAGAACAGTTTTTTGGGAGGCGGTACTGGTGTTGGAACTCGGCTGTGCTTACTAGGCAGAGGCTGTACCACTTGAGCCATGCTCCCAGCCCTCAAAACAAAAATTTTAATTCCATGAGCACATTATGAAGCTAAATTGATGTGGAGAAGCTCTCAATTAGTCCTGTGTTGTCAGTTGTGTTTAAATTGTTGTGTGATCTGCTATTTCTCTACCCTTAATTGGGTGAAAATCTGCCTCCCTCCCCAAAAAAAAGGTACCCAAAAAAGCAAGGTGAAAATGTATGTGCTTAATTTAAGTGATAAAATGAAAATTTTAGATCTGCTGAAAGGTAGCATGTCTTTAGTGGAAGTCAGGTGGTAGTGTTGGAAAATCAATCAAACATCTACCATACAGCACTGAATTTAGGAATCCTGAGCACTCAGTTTTTCCTCAATGGTGAACTCCTTGGAATGAGGTACTTTTGAGCACCAAGGGTCTACTGTATTTCAAACTGCTGCTTGTTTGGAAGATTGAATGTATTGTACCAAAATATGTATCTTTTCAATAACAAAACCTTTGGAGGTAGTAAGGGAGAGTCTGCTGCTTTTGAGACAAAGGTACCTGCTTTATCTTTTAGGTAAAAGTTTGCTGTGGAATTCTTAGCCTTTCTGGACAAATAAGACATAAACTGAGGTTGCTCAGAAACTTGTAGATTTTCAGTAGCTCGTACAAATTGAGAAAAACTTTTCTCACTAATATTGCCATTTTCATTCTTTGGCATCATTAGTCAGACAATACCCAGGGCTTAACCATTTGTCATTTGTGCAAACAACTATAGCTCAATGGTTAGGACAAAGGCATCAGAATGCCCAGTTATAATTCTGGCTTTGCTATTTACTAGCTGTGGGACCTCTGGCAGGTTACTTCTCTGCCTCAGTTTCCTTATCCATAAAATCTGGATAATCATTATGTGAGTTAGTTCATGTAAAGCTCTTAAAACAAGGTCCAACAGAATAGGCACCAAAAAGTGTCATGATTATTACTAAAATAGTGTAAAATGTTTTCAAGTATTAACATGACTTAAAAATATATCCTGATCTCATCCACAAAAGAGAAAAATCTAGTATTTCCACTTTTCAGTTATCTGTATTGGTACCAAACACAAGTATCACAAATGCTAAGGAGGCAGTACAAGGATCACATCTTTATGCAACTGGCTGAAGACCTGACCTTGGACTAGAAAGAACAATCAGAAGGATGACCTAATAGTAGTTTTCAGAAAGATATGCTCTTTATGGACTGCACTAAATTACCCAAGATATTTTCACTGACCACCTTTTTCTCATCTTCTAGAAATGTATACGTTATTTCTAGACTTTCAGACATTTGGTCTCTTCCAAGTAGTTTTTTAAAGCCGATAATATTTAATGATATAGGTAGCTATTACCAGGAAGAACAAATTCTGCTTATCAAGACAGCCATCATGGCTGCAGCTCAGCCAAGAGGCTTGGTATCAGCAAGGACCTGGGTTCAATCTCTAACACCAAAAAAAAAAAAAAAAAAAAAAAAGTCATCACTTCAATAATTTTATACCAATTCCTATAAACTGAAAATGAAAATAAGCAAAAACATTTGGCTTAGCGACAAGAGAATGTATAGGTGTTTTAGTCTTAAGAATTTTAAAGCAAACCAAGTAATTGTATAAAATTTAAATTTTATGACCATGGTTGGACCTTTTTACACTTAACACAATGGAAATGTTCATTTTTTTCCACAAAGGAAAAACTTCTGAATCACCACTATGTTGCGCAGTAGAGTAGAAATATGAGTTCAGGTACTTATTCAAGTTTCTAAAGACTTCAAATAACAAGACACGATTTTACTTCCAAAACCTGAAGTCATCAACATGATTCTGTATTACTGTATCTCAGGCTTTACGTAAAAAGTCATTATTATTCAGATAAAGATAGTCCCCTAGTCACATTTTTTAAAAAGTCTCTGCCCCCACCACAACTTCCTGAGATCTGCGGAGAAACTGCAGTCTTGTGATCTGACTTCATACAGTACGGGCAGTTTTGTAACCATAAGGAAAAACGGTGACAGAGTTCACGTGTCAATTAGGTGTAGTCTGCTGATCTGATTAGAAGCCTTGACAAATGCCTGGTGGCGATTGCAAATAACTGCCAGGCATATGGGGATGATACAGTAGCCCACCGTTTTGGGATCGGCTCTTGTACAAGAATAAAGGAACAAAAACATCTGTAAGTAAGGTATCAGAAAAATAACTGTCCATAACCAAAAAGGAAGGGAAAGCAACCGAGCTTTCAAGGAGTGTGTCCATGTGGTTCCTTCCCGGGGCTCCTCAGGGTGCTGCTGAATGTGTTCCAAAGCCAGCCTGTTGTAAGTCTCATTGATTTCAAAAACATAGTAAAACGCCGCTGCACTTGCTAACAGATACAATCCCACTCCAATCCACCCCATCCGCTGGCGGAAGTTCATCATTCTCCATGCTCTGGGCCTTCAAAGTAAAAAAAAAAAAGAAAAACAGGGTCTAGTAAGGCTGACATGGCAATTATTCCAAGTATACTTGATTTCATATCCAAGAGTTCTAAAATACCCCCATTAATACGTTGAAGATTTAAAGTTAATTATATTAAATGCAAACATCTTACAGGTGGTTGTTTTATGCAACAGTTTCGAGCAAATAAAAACCACTGGTTTCAGAATATACTGAACTCTACTTTTCACGTGAGTCCCAGAGAATAAGCCGCCCTGTTTAATCAGGTGTGTTTACACATTCCCTTCAGAAACTGGAATTAGACGGAGAGACATTCCACTTTTACAGTTGAAATGCTTTCTGGCTTAACAGTATTGCTTCAGCTAACACTGGGTTCCACAAGTTAAACCAATGTCGGAGCCCCAAGACAGCAACTCTGAAAACACTTACAACGATCCCGAAAATCTTCCTGTTCCCACGGCAAGCGTTAAAGAGTCACTCGGTTTTGAATAACCGTGTGGCTTTGGCATTTCAGAGCAAGCCACCATAAGAGAAAACCCCTGGGTTGCCTAGCTCAGGAAAAGCGAGCGCCAGCCCGGAGCACAGGCTAGTTGTGATTAAGCACAGCGTGACTACGGCCGGTCACGCGGAGGCCCGGCCCCAGTCGCCGCTTCCGAGCCCAAGTCTGGGTCACCTGGCTCGACGGGAGGTTCCTTGGCCACTAGGGCCTCCCAGCCACGCCCCCTACCCCGACCAGAGCTACGCAGGCAGCACCAGGCCCGGACATCGCGGCCCTGCAGCGCCACGAAGCCAGCACCCGGCAGGGGCCACCGACCGGGACTGCCAGCAAAGATGAGCAGGTCCCGGATCTCACCTTCCTGTCCCGAGTGGCCCGCTCGCTCGCCGTCCCGGATGCCGCGGCAGTCGGGGCTTCCGGCTCGAGCCGGAAGAGCGCGCCCCGCCCTCCAGGCCCACACCCCTCGTGACGTCGGGGCGCCTCGGCCGGCGGCACCGCCTCCCTGAGCGCTGGGGATACCAGTAACCGCGGCTCGCCGCTTCAGGTGGGCGGCCGTCCGGGTGCGGCGACCCAGCGCCCCGCCCCTTGCCCTCTGGCGCCTCTTACCCGATCTGATTGCCTATCACGCCTAGTCTTGGAGAGCACGGCAGGGATTGGGCCGCCTGGCATCCGCTGCCGACGCTCGGGGCGCCTCCTTAGGCCCTTCCGGACGGAGGACCGGCCCTCCGCGTCGGGTGGGAGCCGCCCTGGCACCTGGGCGGCGGGCGAGCGGCCGGAGCAGCAGGTAACGGTGAGCGGAGGCGGGCTGGCGGAGCGGCGGGCGCTGTTTGCCGCAGAGCGCCGCAGTGTGGCAACTCCGAGGCAGCCCCGGGTAGCCGTCGGTGGCCGGCCGCGCGGGAGCCTGCACGTGCGCCGTGGACGTTGACACCCTAACACTCCTGACTGCACTGTCCTCGCAGGCTGCTGGACCTCGGCATACTGACTAGATCTTTGTGGGCTGCTGCGCAGGATTCCTGTGAATTGCAATGGGCCCGGGTCCAATTAGAACTAATATCCATTATTGTGGGCACCAGGACGTTGAGGCTCTTAGAAGACTGGTGCAGGGGAATGGATATGAACCCCCGGAAGCGCTGCTGAGTGCCGGCATCCCCGAGACCTGCAGTGTGGCAGAGATCGAGGAGGCTCTCCGGGCTGGGCTAGCTCCCTTGGCGGAGTATACACTGCTTGGAAGGATGTTCCGGAGGGACGAGAACAGGAATGTAGCCTTGATAGGGCTTACTGAGGAGACTAGACATGCTCTGGTGTTGAAGGAGATACCTGGAAAAGGTGGTGTTTGGAGGGTGATCTTTAAGCCCCCTGACCCGGATAACGAATTTTTAAGTAGATTAAATGATTATTTAAAGGGAGAGGGCATAACAATGGATGAGTTAACCAAAGCTCTTGGGTGTGGAGATGATCCTTTTGACCTAGATCAGGGAATGATCCCTGAAATTCCTGCCCCTTTGTTGGTACTGGCATTAGATGAGGCTCTTCAGCCTGCCCTGCAATACCTGAACTATAAAAAGCTGAGAGAATTCTCTGGCAGGGATCCTCCAGAACCTGGCAAAGAAGAATTTGGATCCTGGATATTTCATAGTTCTCAGATAATGAAGACATGGCAGGTGTCAGATGCAGAGAAAAGACTATTGGGAGAGAGCCTTCAAAGCCCAGCATTTGATATTTTTCATATCCTTAAGATAAATAATCCCTTAATTACAGTCCCCAAATGCCTGCAGGCTCTTGAGACAGTATCTGGTGTTCTGGGTAATCCTAGGGATATTTTCAGGTCAAAGATCTAAGCACTTGTCAGAAAGATGAAGAAAAGTTGTCTGCTTACGTCCTAAGGATGGAGCCTTTACTACAGAAACTGGTACAGAGAGGAGCAATCGAGAAAGATGTTGTGAATCAGGCCCGCATAGACCAAAGGATTGCTGGAGCAGTCCACAGGACAGTTGGAAGACAGCTTAGTCCGCCACAGGGTGGCCCAGCCCCCAACTTACTGCTGTTGCTGGCACTGATAAAGGATAAGGAGGCCCTTCTCCAGGCAGGGTTAGAAGGGCAGTTCACCTGAACCTCAGGGGACCAGGAGGATGTCTACCTAGAAGCAAAGCATGAAGGTAGAGCACGTCTGTGAAAAATAGTGATAGACATCAACCTATCCCCGCCTTGTTCTGCTAGATACTGTGCAGTTCTCAGTGTGAACCCTTTGTCAACTCTGCCAACTGACTGTCTTCCAAATGTGTCATTGATTTGGAAGGACATAGTTCTGCACTCCTGTGAGTTTCTATCATACAAAGTTGTACGAAAAGTCTGTCACTCCGTGTGCTCAGCGCTCTGCAAGGACGGGCAAAGGCAGTGCGTATGAAGCCCAGATCCCACTGAGATAGATGCCAGTGTGTTTGCTAACAGGTGCAGGTGTGGCAGTCATCAGATCGTGTCATGTTATTGGTAGTTTTTAGGTGTGCATCGCCCTACGCTTATGATGAAAATCATGAGCTGTAGTTAAAATACTAAGTTATTTTCTCTGTGAATCAGAATCACTGATTTGGTGTAATCAAAATGAAAGACAGAATTGACAGCTGAGGCTGGTAAGTCTGCAGCAACCATCTTTAACTCTAGGCTTCTGATTTGTTATCGAAGTACATGGTTCTGAATGTCATTTCATGGGTGTTGTAAAATTATAGGTGTGAACATATAAAATAAAGGAATGCTAATAAAATGCTTTCTTTAATCTGTTTTCTTTACATTAGGGTTCCAAAAGATTTCATTTGAACAAAAGCTTCCAAAGTGTGAACCTGAAAACCACTGAAGTTAGATAGATTAGTTCTTTGGATTTTTTTTGTCCTCTTGGTGCCTGGGGGTAAGAAGTCATTTTCTAAACAACAGACTGCAACCAGACCGTACACACATTAGCACAAGTAGTAGGTTCAGATACATCATACTTTTCACAAAAAAACCCACATTTACAAAACAAAGCGAAATTACCCTTAAAGTCCCCATATCTGAACACAGTACTTTAGTGCCATCATTTGTGTTCTTGCAACATAGCTATTTAAAGAACATAGAGGTAGGGATGGGGTTACGGAGGGGATGGAGGAGGTGGTCCAAATAATGTATACATATGTAAGTTAATGCAAAAATGATTAAAAAAATAAAGAACATACACATTATTTCATGAGCTTGCTAGGCAAGCACTATGCCGGCCCAAAACATTTTTTTTTTAAATATTTTAGTCCCTTTTGTGTGTATTTTGTTTTTGAAATGGGGTCTTGCTACCTTTGCCCAGCTGGCCCCAAACTCAAGATCCTCTTGCCACTTCATCCCAAGTAGCTGAGGTTACAGGTGTGTACCACCATGCACGGCTCATTTCTAGAATCCTTGATCTTAACATGTTCTATGCTGTCTTATTGAATCCTCAGAGAAACCTGTTAATGAGTTTAGAAGGAGAAAGGAAAGAAATGAACATTGCATGCCTCTGCATGGCAGACTAGACTTAAAGTTTCACCACGTACTTTCTCATTTAATCCTAAAAAGTCTGCAGCTGGATGAAGTGGCTTAAGTGGTAGAGTGCCTGCCTTGCAAGCATGAGGCCCTGAGTTCAAACTCCTGTACCATCAAGAAAAAAAAATCAAAAGCTAAAAATCCTGCAATATAAGAAAGTCAGTTGCAGACTGTGTAAATGGACACAAAGGTTAAGAGAGACTTGGTAACTAGTCATGGTAAGAGTTGTATTCTCTCATATGTTTTCTAGTGCCAGGACAGAAGCAGTATGCAGGATATCTACAGCCAACATGCTCACAAGGGAAGTGAGGTGGGTGCTGGCCACATTTCATGCACATGTTACTCTGAATCATGTGCTCAGTTCCATCAGCTCCTAGAATGCTAAATACTAGATGGCATGTGGACTTTTTTTTTCAGTACTGGGGTTTGAATTCAGGGCCTCATACTTTCTAGGCAGGTGCTCTTATCACTTGAGTCATGCCCCCAAACCCCTTTTTTTGCTTTAGTTATTTTTTTGGATAGTGTCTTCTTTTTGCCCAGAGCCAGCCTTGTACAGCAATCCTCTTACCTACAGTCTCTCCTGTAACTAGGATCACAGGCATGAGCCACCATACCAGCTTTATTAGTTGAGATGGAGTCTTGCTAACTTTTTGCCCAGTCTGCCCTTGAACAGTGATCCTCCCAATCTCCACCTCCTAAGTAACTGGGATTACAGGTATAAGCCACCTGACCTGCCTGCATGGGGACTCTTGAGTAAGTCAAAAGGTGTAATTCTCTGGCTTACATTTGTATAGTGATTTTGAATGTACCAGGCATTGTCACAAGTCACTCATTTGCCATCTCAGGGGTGAGAGAAGCATTATTGCCACATTTTGTTGATAAAAGTGTCATGAATATATATACATACAGGTGCTGTCCAGTATGTGCAGAACTGAGCTGAGGGCTGAAGACCATATCATAAAAGTAGAGTATAATCCCTGCCCTGGAGGTTTATTTAAGGTCAGTAGTAGTGACCGACATTGAACACATTTGTTTCTACAACAAACTAAGTCCTTTTCTTCCTCCCAGATGAGATGAGATGAGGCACAGAGAAATAACTTGCCCTGGTTTTCATAGTTAGTAAGTGCAGGGGCAGGATTTATATTTACGCTATTTCCAGAATCCTTGATCTTAATCTGTTCTATTTTACCTTGTTAAATTCTTAGAAAAGACATACAGTTTTCCCATTTTTATGGAAAAGATACAATGCCAAGGACAAGGACACATATTCTGACTCCCAAAGAGTTTTTCTTAAGGTACTCTGAATATGCATCTGATAAATGCTACATAATTGTTAAAAAACGTGAAATAGCTAAGCACAATGGCTCATGCCTGTAATCCTAGTTACTCAGGAGGCAGAGATCAGGAGGATTGCGGTTCAAAGCCAGCCTGGGCAAACAGTTTGTGAGACCCTATCTCAAAAAACTCATCATAAAAAAAGGCTGGTGGAGTGGCTCAAGGTGTAGGCCCTGAGTTCAAACCCCAGTACAGAAAAATATAAATAAAACAAAAAATACGTGAAATGTGTATGTTCTTTGGTGAAAAATAAATATACAAAGAAATAAAGAAAAAAGGGGAAGGTGACTTGTTAACAGGTCACAGGAGCCATCCTGAAAGAGCTCCCAAATGGTGACAGCTACAACAGTTTGAGCTATGGAGCAAATAACATTGAGTTAACCCCCCAAGAATAAAACTTTTCATGAGTTTCTGCTGATAAGTAGTGTATAAATACATGTGGGACAGGAAACAAATTTTGAGTGGGG